TAGCAGCTAAATCTAAAAGAGTACCTCCATATTTTTCTACATTAACATTAGCTCAATTTTCTATGAGAGCATCTCTGTATGACCGTTTTCAGCATCGTAATGTAAAGGGGTTACTCCATACTTATTTGCTATATTAATATCAATTCCTGGTGCTGCTAGCAGCGTAAGGTAAAGGGGTTACTCCATTGTTTGTGTCCAATGAGTGAATTCCATTGTTCCCTCATTTTCTGGTCCTATCGGCGGTAAAGCAGCCCTTTATTTGCAAGGGTCCGTTTTGTTATTGCCTTCTACTCCCATGTTTCCTTGGACCCAGCGGCGGCTGACTTTGTTCTGTGTACCTAATAATAATTTGGTTTTGCAGTTCATCACCATCTTTGGACTAATGATATTTGAACTTAGAGCATTGATGGCTGCTTGGCCAACAACCCCTATCTTCTCAAAATCCACCAATCATCACACGCATCCCTCCTTTTCCTCCGTCCCTTCCAGCCTCTTTTGGCTCTCTTCTCCGCCAGCTCTCAAAGCGAGCACACCTCATATCGCCCTATCTCCTCTAAGTGTTGCACAACAGTAATTAACCACCGCATAAGATCGTGCTTTCATCGCTGTTTTTTTAAAGTTTCAAAGCCCCGCGAATCTCCGCGGATTCCCCTTTCAAATCGCCATACGATCTTCAATCCCGCGTGCAACCCACCTCCCGACCGCATCGTCCCAAACTTATCATCGCCATTTTCCCTTAATATCCTCATCTCCGTTGATTCCCTTGAGATCATTCCTCCTTCGCCTCTTTATATTCATCCCTCGCTCCTCATCATCCTTATACTAAGTACAACCCTTCATCATCTCTGAGAAACTTCCTTTCATCATCTCACTACCATTGACACTTGGATTTCAGTGATGTAGTGGATTATCTATCAGCACTGCCATTCTTGTTTGTTTGACCATCAGCTTTTCAAGTGCTTTCAGTTGAAAGGATTTTAGGCTGATTGGTCTGTCGGATTTGGGTAGTGCAGGGTCTCTTTTCCCTATTTTCGGGGTGAACACCACCTTTGCCCTACGCCATGTCTGTGGTATATAGCTGCACCAGGGTTGGTTTTATTATTTCTGCTCCTTTTTGTAGCAGGGTGGGAAAAATCCCATACGGTCCTGGCGATTTTTATTTGCTGAAGGTATTAATCGCCCAGAGGATCTTTTTCTCTGTGCATATTTCAGCTGCTTTCTTCGAGTTTTCTTTTTTGTGTTTACATGCTCTCATATTTCCAGAGCTATGCCATAAGTACTACCTGGAAAATCTGTACTTGGAAAGACCATTGCTTTTTGTTTTGCATCTTCCGTATAGCTTAGGGGTGTTTATCCACTCTGTCCTTTGCTAGTGCCTTAAGAATTTGCGAAAGTTTTCTCTCTTCGCTCTGCGGATAGCGTGGTTATATAAGGTGAGTAACCTTTTATATTCTCCCCAGTTACTTGCTATTTTTGCTTTATTAAGTGCTCTTCTGGTTTCAGTCATTAGTTGGCCCAGTACTTTGTTCCACCAGGGTGGTTCGTGTCTACTTTTTGGGTTCCTTCACAGGGCAACTTGACTAATATGCGTCATCCTGTTAGTTCTGTAACTGCAAGTTCCAATTCTTTACAGGTTTTTCTTTACACTGGTTGCAAAGTGTATTGTACCATCTTAGTGAAACTTGCCATGTAATGTTTCAAGGATTTCTATATGGTGTCCTATCCGATTCGATGTCAAACCTTATTATTCTATGGTCCGACATCGACTCTTCACCAGAAACCCTCCAATTCTTTATCACATTGTGTAGGGCATAGCTGCAAATGGTAATGTCCAATACTTCTCGTCTCGCTTTGGTAATAAAGATAGGGGTTGACCCTGTGCTAAGTATTTCTAATTTTTCCTTCACCAAGAATTCTAAGAGTGACTCATCTCGCTTGTTGTTGTTGCTGCTTCCCAGACTTGGTGGTGTGCGTTGGCATCGCATCCCACTAGTAGAGGGGTTCTTCTCACTGCAGTAGGTAGCCAGTCTCTGAAGTTCTTCAGGGGGAAGGTGTCCTCCTCTCCTGAGAAGTAGGCCGATGCTACCTCAGCCTCTAGTTTTTTCCCATCCCCAAACCTCTTATTTGTCCATTCTACTGCCAGGGTTTCTGGATGAGAATAGTCCATAGGTGTTGTGCGGTGAACATCCTAGCTGTTACTGCCGAGGCAGCCTTAGCGTGATGGATGTTCGCCTGGGCCATTCTCTCCATACTGGTTTATTCTTTTGGAGGAGGACGAGATATCTCCTTGCCCAATGGGAATCGACGGTCGGTTGAATGGCGTCCTTTACCGAAGGCAGTTTCCTCTAGAGGGTGGTTATTCCACTTTAAATAAAACCGCGGTCGGAGCGGATCCGAAAGTTCTTACGCTAGGGGAGCCCCAATCCTCTGGAAGATAGAGTGGCCTCTACTGGAAAAACCCCCGCGCCCGACTGGTATATTATTATAACTGAGAAAAATAATGAAATCAACAAAAGCTTCTCACACATTTTATTTGATATCTCCAATGCCTGGGCTCCCCCCAGGGGGGAAGGTACAAAAAGCTCTGTGCTAAAAGCTGAGGACTAAACTCCAAAATGACTCTACACCTGTGTCATAAGACCAATGCTGACACATGGGTTGGTGATGTGGTGGACCAAGACCTTGCAGGCTAAGGCAATCCAGCTTTTACATGGCACTCAAAGACAAGCTTGTCTCAGTGCGCTGTGTCTGAGCCATGAATACAACACCAAATGATACCTTGGAGGTGTTGTTAAACCTTGTAACGCTCCATATTCTGATCCAAGGAAAAGCCAGAGCATTGGCTCACAGGCTCATAAATGGAGAACCATCTGCAAGGATAGGCCATATCAAAAAACAATGGAAACTGAGGGAGGAGGTATAGGCTGATGCCAACTAGGCATGCCACTACTCCAAAATATAACTTCACCAAGTGCAAGGTACTTATAACAGAAAGGGAAGAGTGGGCCAAAGGAATACCTCTTAAGGCCATATCCAACTGTACACTGATGGCTCAAAAATGGATAGAAGCACGGGAGTTGGAGTCTTCAAGATGAAAACAAAGGCTGGACTGACTTTAAACTTAGATAAATACACTATAGTTCTTTAGTCTGAAATCATAGCAATTAAACAGAGCACCGAAGAAATAAAAAGGCCAGGAAAACATTCCAGGAAGATTTCTCTGACAGGCAGGCAGCACTTACGGCCTCAGCCTCATGCAAGGTTAAGGCAAAAAGGTATATGGAATCCCTGGCAGAAGTCAGTGGCACCAATCACCTGTCACTGGCATAGGTCCCTGGGCATTTAGAACATAAAAGCAATGAAATGTTGTCCAAAAAAGTAGCTAATATAAATTCTCAAGGCCACGAACCCTATTATGGCCTACCATCTTGTCTCAAAAAAGGACACATCCAAAAATGGATCCTCAATTTGTCCAAAACCTGGTGAAACAATACCCCAGACATGAGGCACGCGAAAATATTCATAGAAAGGCAATCTGCAAATCTTACAATGGAACGACTGGAGAGTAACCTCAACAGAACCAAGATTCTGGTTGGACTTCTGGCATAAAAATAGCAGTTACAGTGAGCAAGCAAACAATAAGTAAGATGTCATACCTCCTCCACCAAAATTAATATCCCTACGAGCCGCTCCTCAAGGCCCAACCTGGACACTACAATTAATTGACAATTGACACACTTGACAAAGTGCTTGGCAGGTGGAGTTGAGATGTGACTGTCAAATAAAAAAGGACAAGAATAAAGAGAGAATGGAAAAAGGATAACTAGAACAGGAGTGAGAAGAGGAACGAGGTGTAAATTTTATTTAATTTAACTTTTACTTTATTTTTGTATTTGTTTATTTTTACCTTGATTTTTTCTTACTCCTTGCTCTCTGACCCCAAGTTCTGCAGTTCTATAATCTATAATTTAAAAAAAAGCAACACAAAAATTAAAAGCCTAAGAAACTGTAAAGAACGGGAACGGCTTAGGAACAGTATAAGAAAGAAGGCCAAGACAGTTGGAATCCTGAGTACTGACAGAAGAAACTGTGCATATACTGCCAGGAAGAAGAGGGGACGCAGAACATTTTAGAAAAGGTCTCGGGGGTCCAGTTGGCCAATTAGCAACAGAGAGTGAACGAACGCGTTTGTTCAATTCTTTTTTATCTCGATTTATAATCGAAGTTAAAATTTACGAGTACACCCCTGGAGTGTTTTTTTTTCTTTGCCCGCTCATCGCTGTGAATTCATGACGCCTGCATTCTTTGCCGCACATCATTTTGCTGTTCACAGGCCAGACCTTTCCTTTCGGCTGTTCACGTCTTCCAATAAGACTTTATTTTGAAGTGTTTGTTTTCTTTAATTGTTAACTACAGTGACAACATTTAAAACCAAGTTTTTTGTGTAATTTGATTAATTTCCTGTAATATGTCTGTCACTATTCTCTTTAATTTATTGACTTTATTGTTCAACTTATGTAAATTAAATTAACTTTATTGTCCAATGTATGTAATCGCATTAATTTAGTTTAATTTAATCTATCTTTCTTCATATCGTGTCCTACTTCTGTCAGGGAGTCAACCGTGAAGAAGCAGGTTCCGGCGAACAAGCAAAGGTAAGGAGCATTGCTGCCAATTACGGATCGCCCCTTCTTCTAACAATACCAATGACATGAAATTCATAATCAATGGCGTAGTAACACGCCTTATCCATCTACACTATATTATCTTATTCGCTAAACTAAGTTACTACAAAGAATTATATTATTATAAGAACGTAGTGGGAAAGCAGAGCTATATATAATAAAACATTTTACAGTTCTAGAATCAAGAGTTAAGGTAGAAAACTAAGCTTGAAAAAAAATCATAATGCATGAAAATTAAATTTATAAATTGTTATATTATTAACAAAGAAATTGTAATTCTTATCATATGAAAATAACAATATATAATATATAATATACCAGGAATGTATGTGTATTTTGTATTATTATAATTGTACATTAATAACATAATTTTCTTAGACATAGTATACAAAATATGCACATAATTAGAAATAATTTTTTAACAATTCAAAGTCACTTTTTTATCACATACACTTGGGACACGTCTTTAAAATCATAATCAATGTTGGTTATTGAATCCTTGATTTTAATACCAGTTATTGTCTGAAACAAAACAAAATTTTGGATAAGAATTGGAAATAGTCGATGGGTTTTGGTCTACGAGTTGGTGAACTCATGTTGAACGGGCAAATGGCAACTTACTGGAACCCGCGAGTAGAGACAGACCTAGTAAGTGGCCATGTGCCGGTTAAACATAAAAATTGGAAAATTGGGATTTTATAGCCTACAGAAAAGTTTCAGTTTTATAATTCATTATTTTTATTATAAAGTTTTTTTGTTTTTTCGTATAATTTCACAGGTTACACTGTAAATAAAATAGAAAAATACCTGAAGGCCTGGTTTCAAAGGTATAATTTTTAAGGTAACTGTTTTTGATTCACCAGCAGGGAGTTCTCCTATAAAAACACCGGATGTAGCACACCATGCCAGGCCACCGATTTGTTCAAGTAATAATACTGGAGACATTGCAAGTTGACTGTAAACCACCAATTTACATACCAATTTATTGTAAACTGGCCAAAGTAATATTTCAAAAACAATAAATGTTATGAGGAATAATGTATTTATTTATTATTTAAAAAAAATATATATATACATACGTAATATTTGATAACCTCAATGTAATACTAAACATTTCTTCAAGATAGACCAAGCTTGGCAATTCATCTATGCCCAAAAGCAAATCTTTAACATCTGAAGGCTAAAAACACAAACAATATATATATGGTGTTTAGCGACCGTTAGTCAATTATTAGAGATCATGAGATGCGGTCTGGTGTGACGTAGGTTTCAGAAAAACATTTTCTTTATTGTGCCAACGTTTCGAACTTTATTGAGATCATCTTCAGGTGAGAAAAAAATGAATTTATACAATGCTAGAAAATTTTAGANGCATGCATAAATTCAATTTTTTATCTAAAATTTTCTAGCATTGTATAAATTCATTTTTTCTCACCTCCTACATGTATTTGAAATTTAAACAATGTTTATAAATCCCAGGCCCTAAAGATGAGCTCAATAAAGGTAGAAACATTGCACGATAAAGAAAATGTTTTTCTAAAACCTACGTCACACCAGACTGCATCTCACGATATAGTAATATGTAAACATATATTGTAAACTGAACACATAATTATAATACAAACTTTTTTAGGAATTGGCGATGTTTGCAAATGTCCTTTTTCTCCGAGATTAGAACGCCAGACTATGTCCAATTTGCCTATTACTTTGTCTGTCATAGCTTTTAAATTTCGGTTATTTTGATAATTTTTGAGTGTCATGCAGTACAGGAAATGTTTACTTTCTTCAGAAGCCATGATATTCAAATTTAACGAATCAATCTTTTGTTGTGTACTAAGATTTTCAACTGGAAAAAAAAAGTTACTATTTACTGAATGCGGATTTTTTATGAAAATCACAAAATTAGTTATAACATTAAAATGACTCAATCAACATATAGTAAAATATACAGGGATGTTAGAACCTTTAAACTACACATCATGGCATAAACTTTACCCCTGTAAATAAATTAAAATGGATATATCGAACAAAAAAATGTTTGAGAAGCTTTTGTTAATTTCATTTTTATTTCTCACTTATAATAGCATACAATTTAAACATTGTCCATATCCTCTAAAAGTAAAGTTATTCGGCTTTCCAATGCTTCTAAAAGCATGGAATTCTAAAAGAATTCAGAGTAATTATGAATTTTTAAGTCAGGAAAACTGGACATCGGAGAAAAAAAGCCCTAAGCGGATCCAGCCTAAAAATGTCAATTTTTCTATGCTATGAAAATTCATATTTAGAGACTTTAAAAGGGTGCTAAAACAAATCCAAATGATTTTTTTTCTTCTAAGTCCTGCAGACTTTTTTAAAGACAATCATAAAAATAGTGATAACTTTAAAAGGATGTTACAACCCTTTAAACAACACATAATGGCATAAACCTGGCCTACGTAAATAAAGTAGAATTGCAGATATAAAATAAGTCTGAAAGTAAAACTTTTTAAAACTTCTAAAAGTGTGGAATTCTGATAGAATCTAGAGGAGTTATTAATCTTTAAGTTTGGAACACCAAACTGTTTTTAACGGGTAGAAATTTAGGATTTTCCTATGAGTTTCACATAGCTTTTAAACATTCTGACTATTTTTGAGTGTCGTGCAGTACAAGAAATGTTTACTTTCTTTAGAAGCCATGATATTTAAATTTAAAGAGTCAATCTTTTCTTGTGTACTAAGTTTTTCTGCTGAAAAAATAAAAATGTTATAACTTAGTAATAGAGTTTTAAAGTCGTTAATTACTCTTTTAGTATAATCTATTAGCATAAGATGTTAACAGAATTAAACATATATAATAACAGTCTATAAAANGAACCGTAACAGTATGTACACTATAATCCTTCAACATATTATTATATTATAAAGGGTACTTTCAAGGAAAAAAAAAACATTCTATTATTAATTTAATTAAAATTGAATTTAATGATTTGGGATCACACATGGCGAGAGTGGGTTCCAAGTTGCCCTAATGAGGCAGCAGATGTCCTAGCAAACAAAAGAACCTCGCAACAACATTTCAAATTCCTTTTGTGGCATAACCAAGAGCCACATTAATGTAGAACTGGAACTATGGGTTATTAAAGAATAAAATGAATACTGGAAATGTATGCCAGGCAAGAGAAAACAGTCATAGTTAACAAAACGGAACAAAAATCCCTAATAAGTATGTTTACATGCTTTAGTAAAATTATGCTTATTACTTTTTATTTAAAAAATTATGCTTCTAAAAGATGGCAGATATCGACTATGCTTAGAGGTGATAGAGGCAACAGAGTTCTTCTGCAACTGCTAGGAAAAACTATGATACCTAAAAAAAATTCTTGAGCAATGAATAGTTGATAACATACCCACACGACAAACATTGGGAACGTCAGGAGAGAAGAAAAATACTACTCACAAAAACAACCCCATGGGAGAAAGAGGAAGTCCTACTCAACAGAAAGGAACCAAAAATCCTCACAGGTCATCACAGGTATCTGATTTGTATTTGCCGCACTAGCAATTCTGCGTTCGAATCCCATGAAATTACAACTGGAAATAATATGTAAAATGTATTGTAATTTGGTTTAACCCCTCATTTGGGGTACCCAATGCACAGTTGGACGTTAAGCTCTCCTCTATCAGAGGAATTACTATACTTTCTTTACTTTTATTCCTAAAAATTTTATACTTTATCAAGAAACAGAAATTTTCCAGGAAAACCCTTAGCAGAGCTAGGATACAAAAGACAAAACTTTAAGTGCTATACAAATAGCTGTACTGGTTTTAAAGTTGAAAACTATCAAGCTGTAATATTAAAGGCCTGTAATTAAGGTGACCGCAGTGGCCGAATGGTTGCGGCATTTGACTCATATTTTCCATGCCAGCAGTTCTGGGTTTGAATCTCATCACAGCTCATGGAATATTAATTGGTAAAAATATGTAAAACAAACCATATATTCAGTAAATTCACTAATTTCGTGGTCCGCTTGACCAATTAATATATTACAATTAATTAAGGTTTTTAGTTGAGATAAAAAAGTCAATGGCACGAGCGGAATTCAAACCCACGACCTTCGGCTAGATACGCCGCTGCTCTCCCACTTGAGCTATCGTGACCTCGATCCATTCCCATCTCAACCCCACCTTTTGAATTTTCCCTCCTTTTTGCCATTTTTCAAATGTCGTGTAATTGGATTGGATTCTCCATGACAAAAGAAATGGCCGCGGGGAGCTTTAGTGAAGTATACTTCATTTTAAATCATTAAATTCACTATTGGTCCGCTTGACCAATTAATATATTACAATTAATTAAGGTTTTTAGTTGAGATAAAAAAGTATATATATATATTATAAGTACAAAGATGCTGACGCTTTTCACCATTAATCATTTTATGAGGAACCCACTTGCTCATCTTCCACATCTTCCCAAGTTGATGTAAATTAGAGCGAATGGTTTCATCGATTACGTTGCAACTCTTGTGAGCTCCTGACATGTTTGACTCAAATGAAGTTTGACAGCTTCTCTCAATTCGTCATCATTCAAGAATCCATCTCAATTTTAGCAGATCATAGTTCAACTTCAATCCCCTCATTCCCAGAAGCAAATTTGTTGAACCACTGTGGCAGTGCACTCACTGTTCCATCACCGAAAGCAGTGAAAATTTTACGAGCTACAATGAATTGATCAAGACACTTTTTCTTTGAAATGATGCATTAACCTCTTGGTATTACATGATGTGTAAATGCTTATGTAAATATGAAATATTGATTGACGGCTTAAAATAATAAATGAACAACCGAAAGAACTTTTCTGGTTATATGGTATAAGGATTTTAACATATTCAAATTCAATTTACCCTTTTCCAAATTTGTAAATTTACATGCTGTTAGCATAGAAAGTCTTAAGAAAAGTATTACATTTTAAGCAATACAACGTGTGTTTAGGGGGCATTCGGTGGCATTGACACAGAGCTTATCACTGTAAGGTGAAGGTCCTGGGATCAAATCCAGTGGCCCTGCAGTCAAATCTGACAAACATACATTTTTTTTTTTTTTTTCAAAAACACTGGCACCTGAGAGTTGATATGACCTCTGCTGTTGCGAACCATTGTAAAAATTCTATTCTTGTCTTGGGTCTCTACGAAATTTTCTCACTAGTTTTACTTTGAGAGATTAAGATTTTTAAAGCAACAAAAATTTAAAACTATTAAAAGAATTTACATATAAAAATTAACAGCCAATGAAATTAGTTCTTTATTAAAGAAAAATGCTTATTTTTTGTTACCGTTGAAAAGTGGTGATGCTTCTAGCAATACGTTCTCCAAAACCATATAATCCGATGTTATATTCTGCACTTCGGCTTCGAGATATATTTCTTCTGGCTATTTAGAAACAAAAGGCATTTTACAATATTAACAATACTATTGACATTCTCAACTTACCTCAGATGCATACAGGTTTGTTTTAATGTCAAGAGGTTTATGCACTTTAAATTGAAAAGTTTTTTTTAATGATTTATCTTCATCAGGAATAGCCACAGAACGATAATTAACTTCACACAGCAAACTAAAACACATGAATCTATTAAGTAAACTCAAATCTACCATAAACAACAACATTAAATCATGTAGCATTTTAAATATCTTACACATGATTTCCAATTTCTTTTACTTCATGGTGTATAACCTCATCTATATTACATCCAGCGGCTAAATCAATAGGATCCTTAGGCTGTTTAATGATCCTGAAGCAGTTCTCTTTTGGAGTTTCTAAATGCACCTTGGGTATAATAAAACAAATAATTACTCATTATTTACTTGAAATATGTAAATGATGTTTTTTCAACATTAAATTTATACCCACCTTTAAAGTAACACCTTTCACTACATGATTACTGTGGTTGTGGATACAAACATAGCAAGAAAATGTTTCTCCTAAATAAATATCCCTGTAACAGTATTATTATTTTTAAACCTGCAATTATAGTTACAATAAGTAACTTTGGTAATTCCTAGGGAAAATGAAATTAAACATGAAGGGAGAAGCCACCTACTGGTAAGGCAACCACAAGTGCACGTCACTGAAGGATAATTAATTCCCTAGGCCATTGGAGCCAATGTGGAGGGTTAGTGTGGAAAGTTGTTGGGCAAAGAGGTTTGAGTGTACGGAAATGGTATTGCAGAATTTCCGATAATATGTTCTCAAAAGGTTCTGAACGAATGGAATATGAAGGTCAATGTGAATAGTTTTATTGTAGACATAAGAGGGACTATTAATTATTTCTCTTAGGATTTTGGATTGGAGAGCCTGGATATGGGATGAATAAAAATGTTTGGTTGAGTCCCAAACTTGCACTCCATAAGTCTTTATCGGACGAATGAGTGTTTTATAAATGGTAAGTTAGGTTTAGGTGAGATCACTGGTGAATAGTCTCAGCAAGAGTTTGTAACAACAACTTTGCTGATAGGAGCTTACAATGGAAGGTCAGAGTGAGAAATGAGTGTTGTCAGCAAACGTGGAGATGGCTGTGTTTGAGGATCAAGCCAAGGATACTTCCTTGAATGACTCCAGACTGGAATAAAAGAAGAAAGGGATGTTCCCTGACAGACTGGTATTACTGTGTCCCATACCGGTTCTGGGAAGAATTTTCTTGTGTTTAATGAATTTTAATAACCTTAATAATAATAATAATAATAATTAATAACTTTTTAACATTAATTTTATTCAATTAATTAATCTTTATGTAAGGTATTGGTTGAGATAAAAAAAAGTCAGCATCACGAGCGGGATTTGAACCCACGTCCTTCGGCTAAATATGCCACTGCTCTACCACTTGAGCTATCGTGACTTCGATCCACTCGGACACTAACTTCCCATCTCAATCCCACCTTTTGAATTTTCCCTCCTTTTTGCCATTTTTCAAATGTCGTGTAATCTATTTGATTTTCAGCAACAAATGAAATGGCCACGGAGAGCTTTAGTGAAGTATACTTCATTTTAACTTATTAAATTCACTAGTTTTCGTGGTCCGCTTGACCAATTAATATCTTTCAATTAATTAAGGCTTTTAGTCGAGATGAATTTAATCACATACAAACCATACAAGAAAACAACAGAAAGATAAAATTACTAGCTAATCCTTCATTAAATGAATCAGAAAGGAACCAACTTATAACGCTATCCTTCTAAACTTTATTTTATTAGAAAATAAAATTAACGATATACAAAACTCTATAGGGTTCTGCAAATTAAAAATGTTACATTCTTTTATTTTAACATAGGGTGATCTTAAGTCTCTAAAGGAAACTAAAAATCTTACGTTTGTATCTCCAAATCTTAGTACGCTTTGGCAACTAACTAAAGTACTACAATTAATTAAGGTTTTTAGTTGAGATAAAAAAGTCAGTGTCACGAGCGGGATTTGAACCCACGATCTTCGGCTAGATACGCCGCTGCTCTACCACTTGAGCTATCGTCATGACTTTGATCCACTCGGACACTAACTTCCCATCTCAACCCCACCTTTCGAATTTTCCCTCCTTTTTGCCATTTTTCAAATGTCGTGTAATCTATTTGATTCTTAGTGACAAATGAAATGGCCACGGAGAGCTTTAGTGAAGATATACTTTATTTAATTTATTAAATTCATTAGATTTCGTGGTCCAATTGACGAAATAACATCTTTCAATTAATTAATCTTTATGTAAGTATTGGTTGAGATAAAAAAGTCAGCGTCACAAGCGGGATTCAAACCCACGACCTTCAGCTAAATACGCCGTTGCTTAGTGTCCGAGTGGACCAAAGTCATGTTAGCTCAAGTGGTAGAGCAGGAGCGTATTTAGTTAAAGGTCATGGGTTCGAATCCCGCTCGAGATGCTGACTTTTTTATCTCAACCAATACCTTACCCTTACATAAAGATTAATTAATTAAAATATGTTATCTGGTCAATCAGACCACAAAATCTAACAAAATTAATTTTATTTTTATAAATACATCAAGCTTTTGCAAAATATTAGCTCTTTGATGTCTAATGTTTTAATTAAGTATTGAATGAAAATACAAGTGGGAAGCCCACACATAAATAAATTTAAATCATACTTTCTTCTCATTTATTACATAGTGAACAACTGATCAAATTGTTACATTAAAGCCATATTTTATACTACAAAAATGTTCGATATCTTACTTAAAGCTCTGAGGAAGTAAGAGAAAACTGCTGGCTGCAATTGTTTCACTTCCTGGTACAGTGGTTATGTCCTTTCTGAGGATATCGTTAAATAACTGCCCAGGTAGATCTTTCTGGTCACTTGTGATTATTGTAGGTGTGATAAAAGACGGCCTGGTTAAACACATCACTGAAAAGATACATATTACACTAAAATATAAATGGCATTATATCAATATATTTAATTTCAGAAAGACTTATTGAATTTTTGCTTGCATCCTAGCAAGGGAAAATTCAAGTTGAAGTCCTTAAAATGAATCAATTAGTCATTGAGAGGGCGATAAAATACTGACTAAATTCAAATTTGCTTGAAAAATTCATAGATAATGGTGGGAATTGAACCAAATGACCACATCTTAACTTGTATATTTAAAGAAACTTCATTAGTTTTCAATTTGAGTTTTCTTTGTGAAATTATCCAGCCCCTTGAAGATACTGAAAAATTTCTCTGTGAGGTCAGCAACGTTGTGAAATGATCGGTAACAACCAAATTACCCTTGAAGTTAGTTAACATACTCAATTTTGTAATTTTGTCGTTACTTGATATGTCTTAATTAAAGGGTGCCATTACTTGGCTTCATTCATTGAGCTTAAAACCAGGCTTCAGCCACTTTACTGACTAATGACCTATTGCCTATAACAGTTATAACAAAATTGTAAATGCAACAAGAATCCAAGATTGAAAACAAAGATAATATTAGAAATTCACTACTTTCGTGGTCCGCTTGACCAATTAATACATGACAATTAATTAAGGTTTTTAGTTGAGATGAAAAAAAGTTAATGGCACGAGAGGGATTCGAACCATTGAAAAATGGCAAAAGGAGGGAAACTCATAAGGTAGGGTTGGGATGGGGAGTTGATGTCCGAGTGGATCGAGGTCACGATAGCTCAGGTGGTAGAGCAGCGGCGTATCTAGCCGAAGGCCGTGGGTTCGAATCCCTCTCGTGCCATTAACTTTTTTTCATTTCAACTAAAAACCTTAATTAATTGTCAGATAATATTAGAACCTATCCAATTGCAAAGTACAAGACACTAGCTGGTGAGATTGAAAATATGATTTAGGCACAAATGGCTTGATACTTAGTGATACTTATATTTTGTTCTTTGTTTCAAACTATACGTATTTTGCTCAGTATATTAATTACAACATACTTATTTTAATGTAAAGCTTTGAGTTTTAATAAAAATTATTGAATTAAGATGGATTGAAAGAAAATTCACAAAAACACTGTAAAATTATTTAGTGATACATATTAAAAATTAACAACAATTTAATACCTAGTTATGTTCTTAATAATGTGCATTATCTCCTGTGGCCCTATGGAGGGCCTTAAATCCCCTAGGCATCGAGTAAATAAGCGATCGGATTTTGTCTTGTGAAACAGAATCCCATTCTTCAACAAGAGTAGTTTGAATTTATTCGACACATCTTGGAGTCAGCGAAAAAAGTCTAAACCTTCTTTTTATCATGTCCCATAAGTATTCTATAGGATTCATGTCAGGAGAACAAGGCCAATTTATTGTAGTAATCCCTACATCATCATAATAGGCGACAACTCGAGCTATGGCATTATCATGCATTAACACAAAGTTGTACCGATAAATGGAGAGAATGTGACCACAGTTTCCAAAAGAACTTCTTCAATGTACAGTCTAAGATCCATTCTGTATGACAACCAGTTCGGTACAGACATGGACATTGATTCCACCCCACACTATAACTGATGTTTCTGAAAAGGCAGATTCATGCAAGATATATGAAAACGCGTTCAAAACGTCTTCTCCACACAGGGTCCTCGTCATCTGATTACTGCAAACCTAACCAGCACTCATCCGTGAAGAGAACCCCCCCCCATTGTTCAAGTGCCTCACTGAGATGCTGATTTGCGAATAGTCGCCTTTCTATTTGATGGTTTTCAAGTAGTGTCAACCAGCAGGACGCCTAGAGCTTTCTGATATGTTTTACAGCTCACCTATTGGCTATCAAGAAAACTGTTAAATGATAGTTCCTTAGTGCGGTGAGAGCAATAAAACAATTGTTTCTAGCATTCATACATCGTGGTCAACTAAGTCTCTTCAATCAAGACTTCCGGTGGCACTGAACAGCTGCAGACCATTTTGGATGGTACAGCATGGCAAATCCAGTACTTGAGCTATTCGGCGGAGATTACTGCCATAATACGGGCACTGGAATATATTAAAACAATTAACTCAAAGCAAATTTGAATTTTAACTGATAGTTTAAGTTTGATTGGGCAAATACAAAACTTTAAATCTAACACCAGGTGTGATTACCTTATAATTGAAGTAGTAAGGAAAATCTGGGAACTGCAGAAAAATTTTGGAAAAGAGATGACATTATGCTGGATCAAGGGTCATTCGGGGATCCTTCAGAATGAAATTGTAGATAAACTGGCTAAGGGAGCCGCAGAGGAAGGTGTTACGCTTGATGTCCCACTCACCAGGTGGATATGAAAATTCAAATGTGTAAACGGGCATACAAAAAGTGGCAAATGCTTTATAACTCAGCAGATGCTGGAAGGTACTGTCACTTTTTCCTTTTGTACAGAAAGTCCCTTGGTTTGCCAAGAGGGGTGGGAGTAAAGCCTTTTGTACAACTATATCCCGGCTCAGAACTGGTCATGGTGTTTGCGGTGCGTACCTAAACAAAATCAATCTAAGGCCCTCACCAAACTGCTACTTGCGACGTAGCTGAAGACTTGGAACACATAATTTTGGCTTGCGTGGAACATGAAATACCGAGACAAACTTTATTCCAAAAACTTTTGTATCAAAAGGGTATCGAACATCCCTTTTACTTGAGCACCTTAATGGGAACAAACAATAAGGAAGTCTACAGTGCCATAATGGATTATATTGCGGAATATGGACTTAATGTGTAGGTTCAAAATAGAGTGGTGGGAGATGTGGTTGGGGGGTGTTGCGGCGGGGTCTTGTCGCGTTGCTGGTCGGGGGTGACGGGAGGGCTCCCTGGGCAAGTTAGCCCCAGCTCTCTTGGGGATTTGGACTTTTCCATAGAGTTTGTAAATGGTTTTTATCCACATCCCCGTAAAGATTGCTGCAAAATTAAAGATTTATTATGTATTAGTAGAAGGTGAGCCCTCTTCTTTCCCCTGCCTGGCGGTGGCGGCTTGTCTCCTTCGCCGGGCTCCTTGGGTACTCCTGGCCCTGCCGGTTCCCTCCCTTTTCCCCTTGTTTGGCCAATACCCAGGGGTAAGGTCATAATTAAAAAAATAAATAAATAAATAAAGCTGTCACGGACGTTACATCCGTTGTTGGCCAAAGCATCTGTCCAGGCATGGACTATTGTTCTTGACTTAAAACAAGAAAAATAATGGTAGGAAAAGGATGAAATTGAATGACTTTTTTATTTTTAATCTAAAGAGGTAAAAGTGTTAGTAAAACTCTGTACAGGTAAACATCAAATTATATATCTTTATACCTAGTTATTATGTAAAATAAAAAAATAAATACCGTCTCCGGTTTTTGTCTTTGAGAATATTAAATTTTTTTTGTTAAATAAAGACATATATAATTATTAATTACCTTTAAGGGAGAACAAGTGTTCGTTTTTCTCTTTTAACACAGGATCCATAATGAAACGAATTACTTTTTTTTAACTAAAGGTCGGCCAAACTTATTTTATTTTCGCCAGAATACATTTTCGCCTAAGAGTTTATTTCAAAACGAAAGATTAACAGAAATGGCTAAAATGACTCGTTCCTTGTTTTCAGTTATGGTAACAATGAAATAAACTTCCTCAGTTGTCACAATTCACACTGAGTACTGACACGCTTGTCTTACGTCGATGAACTGAATCAAATAATCGTCGCAAGTAACACACAAGTAAAAAACGGTTTATAACTTTATTTCAAAAATTTTACCTCATCCTCTGAAATTGTGCAAGTAGTTTTACCTTTTTTTACAATAGGTTAGTAGGATAAATTTGTTTTTATCAAAATCAAAAATCAGAATAATTTTTCATCATGGCTCTACAGGAAGTTGTAACAAAAGTCTACTTTTTTTATTGTTTACAAAAAATCAGTTATATTAAATTCAGTATAGTATTCAGAGGGCTAGTTTTTTACGCAAGAACAAAACCAAAAGCAATTAAAATGAGAAACCTAGAAAACATTATCGCCTCAGACATTCATACAGTCAATGACAAGAAAGAAATACAAAAGAGGCAGAAACAAAGACAAGCAGTAGCAAACACACTGGAAAAGGAACAAACAAGCAGTCATGCAGAGACATGAGAAGACGAACAGATAGGAACGAATATTGGTGGCACAAATTAAAGCACAATTAGACAGTCAAAAACAAGCAAAATTGAAAGGAAAAAAATACAAACGAAAAGATTTAAAACGTAACAATAAATGCCAGATTAATATAGAAACAAAGAATAGTCGGACGGAGTGAAACAGAAATAGTTATATAAGCAAACAGACGTAAAACAAAGAAAGGCCGACTAAAGCGTAAATATCCAGGCGGGCTGACCAGGACAGAAAAAGGCAGAGACTATAAACATACATCGCGATGGACAAACAGAGAAAAAGCCATACGGAAATTAAGACAGACAGTATGTAAAACATAATTAACCAGCCTAAAACAAAGGCACATAGACAGAAACATACGTTAAGAAATAGAAAGAATGGGATGGTAACAAAGACACAGCTGGACAGGCTGAGACAGAAATAAAGATATGCAGTAGTAAGCATGCTGGAAAACGAACAAAACATGCAGGTAGACAGCCACTAGAACAAACAGGAACAAAGACAGATTGAGACAGACCCAATAAATAAAACACGACTGAACATCGAAAAACAAAGGAAGGTAGACAAAAACAAACATTAAGAAGCAGAAAGCGTTAGAATTTTACAAAGACAGAGCTTAGCAGACTAAGACAGAGACAAAGATATACAGAAGTAAACGTACTGTCGAATAAAACATGCAGACAGACAGCGGCATGAAAAGACGAACAGACAGGAACAACAAAGATTGACTAAGACGGACCCAATATATAAAACACAATTGAACAGCGAAAAACAAAAGAAAGTAGACAAAAACAAACATTAAAAAATAGAAAAAGGGAGATCGTAACAAAAATAGAAACAAAGATATGCAGAGGCTGAAGAACGGAAATAGTTATAAAAACAGACAGACAGGTTGAAAATAAAGAGAAACAGACTAAAGCATAAACAAATTATACAGAAGGCAGATTGGGGCAAAAACGGACACTCAAGGACAGAGACAAAAGTATAAAAGCTAAAACACAATTCACCAACCAAACCAAAGGCAGACAGACAGACAGAAATCAAAGAAGAGCAGAGTAAGGCATAAACAAACATCAAGACAGGCTGTCTAGGACATAAAAAGGACATTGACTACAATCGTAATGATAGACGGCGAACTAAGATAGCCAGAAATAAATAAATGTCAATTTAGAAAATGATAGACTAAAACCATAATTGAGGAATTAAAATAAATCGACTAGACAGAGGCATGACTATAAAATCAAAGATAGACTATGAACGAAACACATTTTGATAGAGCCAGATACATTTAAACAGACAGGTGTAACAAGGGATGGACTACTCAGACACAAATACAGGCGCACCTAGACAAACAGAAACCAAGATGGCAAGAGAGAAAGCAAAACACGCTTAAACAGATAGAGATAGAGACAGATGTAAAGGCTGTTGTAAATAGATATCGTCTTCATGTAACCAATGTACTACAGTTCAGAAATCGGCGCAATTCCTACACAAGCAGTGGGAGGGCTCTTCAAGTCTGCAACAGGAAGGTAATATCAGACTCAATAAGAGCCAAGAGGTAACTGGTAAGTACTAAGTACTCAGTCTCAGTAGTCCTAACTCCTAGACCTAGTCAGTTTACTGTCAGAGCCAGACCAAGACTTACGGAGCCTTTAAGAGTTTAAGCAACAGGAATACAGGATGAACAACGTTAGCTTAGCTCTCTTCCTGGCCAGGTCTGATTGAAATTGGCATGTTATTTTTGTATATGCCGCCGGCCTTTTGGATATGGAGTCGGAAAAGGACGACGTCGACCTGCTGGACCAGTACCACCACCTCGGAGTGCCTTCCCTCCTGGGACTTCTTTCAAAGATTTTCGCTACCGACTCAGCCGGTGTGGACACATACCTGGAAAAGGAACTAAAGAGGACGGCTTGGGAAATGTTACTCAAGAAACGATTCATAGAGTCAACGAGTGAGTTTTCCTTGAAATATAATTAGCCAAGGATTTCAGTTTACCAAATTCTCAATTCATTTTCCTAATCCCCAAAGTCATATTCTAAATTGAATTAAGATATATTTTATAAGATGAAGATAATTTACCATATACACTCAACGACAAAAAAACCACACTTAATTTTTTTCCTTAAAAGTATGGTTTTAAGTCGAGATCACGCCTGGTAAGATGCTTTAGCTAACTACGGACGCAGCGTCCATTACGTAGCCCAAGTCCTGGGTGTGCTGCGTTATACCATCATGATGGTACACAGCAGTTTAGGGCCATTGGAAATATAGATTGAAAAGAAGGTAGTGGTCGACCACAATGTACGACAGTTAGAGACCATCATTTTATTGCTATTACTGTTCTACGGAACTATCTTTTGACATCTTCCTTGATAGGTGAGCCGTAAAACAGCCAACAGAAGGATTTACGAGAACAGCATAGCCTTTCGACGGCCTGCATCAGGTTCTCTACTACTGGAACGCATTGAGTAGATGCAACTATTCACAAATCAGCATTTCGCTTAGACCCTTGAACAATGGGGGGGGGGTGTATTCTCTTCACAGATAAGAGCTGTTTTGGTTTGTGGCATTTAGATGACCAGGACAGTGTATTGAGAATACTTTGCTTTCTGTGCCATGTGTGAGTTGTACTTTTCAGACAGTCATTTATGGAATGGGGCGAAATGAACGGCCATGTCCGAACTGATTATCATACTGATCTTTGACTGCACTAATCATCTGGCTTCCGCCAAGGTTATTCCACCCAATCAGCACTAATAAAAATTACCAGTGACCTCCACTTAGCAATGGACCAACGGAAAGTTACTATACTTTTCCTTCTTAATTTTTCCAAAGCCTTCAATTCTGTCCCTCACTCTTCTCTCCTCTCTAAACTTGAATCTTATTCCTTCTCCACCAGCACCATCTGTTGGTTCCACTCCTACCTTACCAATCGCCACCAAGCTGTCTCCCTTCCCAATGGCCTTACCTTTTCTTTCCTTCCTCCAAAATCTGGGGTGCCCCAAGGCCCTAGCATCTCTCCTATCCTTTTTTCCATTTATATCAATGACCTGCCCGACTCCATCCAGTCCTGTAACTATCATCTATATGCCGATGACTCCCAAATATACATATCCTTCCACCCTTCCGATCTTCACTCGGCCATTCTCAAGATCCAAAAAGACCTAAACTCCATCAACGAATGAGCCCTTAAAAATTCCCTAGTTCTCAATCCGTCCAAATCCACTGCCATAATTATCGGGTCCAGGCAACTCCTCAATTCCCTCCCCAGCATCCCACCTCTCATGCTAAATAACCATCCCATTCCCTTCTGCTCCTCGGTTAAAAACCTTTCCTGGCATTCTCACATTTCCCAAATTTCCCGCCATTCCATTGCCTCCCTCAGCCTGTTTCGTCGGTCCTGGCTTCTCTTACCTTTCTCCACCCGCAAACTCCTTGTATCTTCCCTTATACTTCCCTTCTTCGATTATAGCTGTGTGGCATATGGTGGTCTCTCGGAAGGGGGGAACGCACGATTGAAGCGTATTATGAATTGTTGCGTAAGATTTGTGTACGGCACCCATGGGGATCCTGGGTATCGGGGTTGTATTTCCCAACTTTCCTGGCTATTCCCCTCCTTCCGTGCACAGTATTTCCTAGGTTGCTTTCTTTTCCTGTCCATCCACACTCCTTACATCATCCAATCCCTCCATTTCAACTCCTCACATCTCACTCGTAAGACCCACTCATCCCCAATCGACCTTATCCTTCCGCAACGTACAACCCATACCTTCGAAAGATCCTTTCTTATCCGAGCCCCTAAACTCTGGAACTCCCTTCCCCTTTCTATTCGTCACGCTGCCTCCTATTCCTCCTTTAAATCCCACCTGTATAATCACCCCCTCTCCCTCCTAGCAGAGACCTCACATTAACATTTGTTATATTTGTTTAATATTCTTGTAAATTTCTCTTCTGGCCTGCCTTACTGGTATACATTGTGCCAAGATTTCTATCTTTTTTCACTTTTAATTTCATAGAAGGAACTTCCTTTATTTATTTCATGTAAATTATTCTTATGGGACACCAGTCCCAGAATAAAGTTATTTTTCTTCTTCTTCTTCACTTAGGTACATTGAAGAAGTTCTTCTTGAAACTGTGGTCACATTCGCTCCATTTATCGGGTACAACTTTGTGTTAATGCATGATAATGCCATAGCTCGAGTTGTCGCCTATTATGATGATGTAGGGATTAATACAATAAATTGGCCTTGTTCTCCTGACATGAATCCTATAGAATACTTATGGGACACGATAAAAAGAGGGTTTAGACATTGTTCGCCACCTCCAACAAGTGTTGAAAAGCTTCAAACTGCTCTTGTTGAAGAATGGGATTCTGTTTAACAAGACAAAATCCAGTCGCTTATTTATTTGATGCCTAGGAGGCTTAGGCCCTCTGTGAGGTCAAAGGAGTAAATACATGTTATTAATAGCAAAACCAGCTCAATTGTTACTTAAAATTTGATATATCACTAAATGATTTTAAGGTGTTTTGGTGAATTGTCTTGCAATCCATCATAATTAAGTAATTTTTATTAAAACTCATATTTTTTTTCCTTTGAGTGTATATAATTAGATCACCTCTAGCCGTGAGGATCAAGCTAATTGAGCCCAAATCCTAATAAATACGTTCAGTCTCAATATATGCAAAGAAAAACAAGATATTGATAAAGCATTATATACAGTTTAATAGCCCTGTTCGATCTAAAAATCGGAACAGGGGACCCAGATACTCGCTGCAGTGCTCAAGCACAATTCTCAAATTATATGGCATTCCTGCATGCTTTCTATATGGAGAAAGGAATGGCACCCTTTAAATAATACACATCGAGCAATCTTTCTCTATTTGCCGGACGTGTGGGCTTTGGCCCAAAAGTATCTGTGTATCAACCTCGCTTGGCCTATTCTTAATGAGGTGAGGATGACCATTTTTCTACGAGTCAGGTCCTCTGAGGGCCACCTATCGACAGTGCTCTTGATATGCAAGAGCTTTTCTACCAATCAGGCGCAAATTTTGTAATTTGTAACTTTATGTGTATTAGTATAGATTTAATAAATATAATGATAGATTAAAGGTAAAGTAATGGAATTCCTATCGGGAAGGAAGGCTTAAAGTCCAACTATACATTGGGTGTTTTGGACAAGGGGTTAGGACTGCTTTACAATAGTTTTTCCAAATTAATCTCAAATAAAATTCCAAGAACTAAGCAGGGATTTGAACCCAGAGCCACTAGTTTGGCAAATACAAGAAGGACTAACCACTGGTCTACTCAGCCATACCTTATAATAATAATAAAATATGATAGATATTTTATAATTTTTATTATGTAACATGGATTTTTTAAAAGACTGATTGTCTTTTAAAAAATCATTTACATAATAAAAATTATAATATAAAAATCTTCAATACAAAGGAATAACCTGGAAAAAACGATTTAACCCAGGATAATCAAGAATCAAAAAATGGAACAGAACATCTTACAACAGATGCAAATAGTCATATATTTTAAAAGAAACTATATATAATAAAAAGTTAGTTTTAACAAACCACATGGAAAAGTTTTATTTAAAAAAAAACTTGTGATAAATATATATAATACAATATTACAATAATACAATATTAATATTGTTTGTTTCAGATGTTGATGAAATACTAAGGAGTGATGTTTTCTCTGCTGTTATGTGGTTCGTGCATGACGAATGCGACAGAAAAGATGAAATCACCGAGATAATTTACAATCTGGAAATGTTTTTCCAAGAACATAACCAACATTGGGTCGAAGATGCTATTAAAGTATTGCTAATGGTGCACTTATTGGGCCGCAGACAAAAAGTCAAAATTGAAAGGCACAGCAAGGTAACCATCAAACGATTTTAACAATTTTTTTCTTATTCTTTTTAAAACTGACAGATATGTTGAATATGAAAAGTAAATCGAAAATTGATTCCGTGGTATTTGAAGATAATGGTTTTACAGGCCCTATTTTCAATATCATCCGATTATTATATTGACCCTGTATTTATTCGAAAATTTGAGACATTGAATTTTTAGGAAATATTTAAAGAACATGTTGATAACTGGGTTAAAAAAGTCGAACAAAATGCAAGGCCACCGCAAGAATTATTCCCTCATAAGCCAAGATATTTTACATTCAATCCTTGTAGTATAAGTGAAAGCATTCAAAACCAAATAAGGCAACCATTAAGGTAATATCAGCATAAATTTTATATTAATATTGTACAGTCTAAACACAAAGAAATTGCCTTTAAAGTGAAGTAAATAAAATTTGAACAAACAGTTTATTTTATTTGATCAATTGATTTTTCACAGTGGACTTCTGAAAGAAAGTCGGTCATGGCCAGCAGATGACGACTTTTCAAGCCTTAGTGATATTGCCAGTTGTTCTTCCCAATCAAACTACATATTGGTAAGTAAAACTAATAAATATTTAAATAAATATTTGTAAACTATAACATAGAATTAAATAAAGTGAGTATTCTTTGTTAAGAATAAAGGGCCAAGCAGATCCACTATTCAACACCTTTTCTCCTTCATGGTCACTGACCAAAGAATCCCTTTCTTCCAATATGGCCTAAAACATCTATTGGGGAGATCTATTCGATACCTGCTCAATTCAGACAAACAAAGAACATCTCAAGACTAGGGCCACATAATGCATATACCACAAAAAGTGTCCTATTTTTTTTTTATAGAAAAAGTGATCCAAAAAGGGGAGCTCAGTGATGACCTTTTTTCATCTATATCTACATTTTTACATTACAATAATAGAAAGTATAAAGGGTAATAGGGTCATCCTCTAAGTAACAATAATTGTGTAATATCCATTTCCTAGAGGTATTTGTTAAGCTTAAGGCTTTTTAAAGCGGCTCATAGACGATCAATATTATTGCACAATATTTTGGGTTGTGCAATTTAATTGATCGTGTGTAGACGATATTGAAAGTTTGAGCAATACATTGCATGATTGACGAAAAGTTGAAAATATATTGTACAACCTGGAAAATATTGCACCGTCTGTTGGCATTATTGCGCAATATCAGTCAGTTTGGGAAGTACAACCAGTAGTAACAAAATATTGCACAAACTTCAATATCGCCTTCAAAGTATTCAAGTTCATTGCACAAACAAAATTTTGTACAATATTATTGAATGTTTAGGGGCAACCATCAAATTATTGTGCAATCTGTATTGTACAATAATATTGACCATCTATGGGCCGCTTAGCAGTGCTTTAACCTAGGATTTTCCACTCCGAGGAGGCATTCACACCAAAAGAGGACATGTTCCGCTGTTTCTTCATCTCCCTGGGAATATCTGCACAGGTTTGTTTCTGCTGCTCCAAATCTAAGCAGTCATTAAAGCAACCCCAAAATATGAGCAGTCAAACTCATTAGGGAAGTACACTTCGGTCTTTCAAGCAGAAATACATGCCATCAATGGAGGTGCCCTAGAAAATATTAAAAGAGGTTACACTGGCAAAAAAAATCCTCATACGATCAGATAGCTAAGCAGCTAGCTTATATAACTATGTATGTGCTAGCATAGCTATATAAGCATATCACATTGCTTATATAGCTATGTGATAGCATATAGCTTTCAGCATTAGCATATAAAAATACCACTTCAAAATTAGTCAGTAAATGCATCCAAAATCTCCAAAACATGGAGAAACACAACAATCTGATAATATCTTGGATACCAGGACACAAAAAAATTTTGGGTAAAGAAAAGGAAGACAAACTGGCCAGAGGAGGATCTGCAAGACCATAATTAGATCCTGAACCTATTCTTGGGATAACAAAGCAAATGTAGAATCCTCCTTTCCATAATGGATCCAAAAATGGCAAAAAGGAGAAATGCGGACTCTAAGGGTGCCAGACACAGTAAATTTATGCTAATAAAACCCTCACCAAGACTGGGAAACTTACTGCTTCAGTTAGAGAGGGCTAAACTCAGAGACATAATAGGACTATACCCTATCTGAGAAAACGTACATAACATGGGCAAGCTCAATGATGACCCAATTTTATGTTGTGCAATGAGAAGGAAGAAACATCTTCAAATTCAAAGCTCACTCAATCAAGACAACCTGGAATACAAAGAAAACTCTGGGAAAGGAATTGTAGCAGCGACAGTCAATGACCTAGTACTTAAAGATTGTAATACCTTAGGATCGAGTCAATTGTGCTGAACTAAGGAACTTGAAAGTACAATAAGGTATAAGGCTGTTGGGGAACAAAAATAAAAAACCTTCTAGTATCCTTATGATATCTTCTACTTTCTTGTATCCTTATTCATCATCATCCTTCAGGCCTAGGCTCTTCCACCCCAAGGAGTCATAGGCCTCTGCACCAACAGAGGACGTGTTCCGCTGTTTCTACTTCTCCCTGGGAATATCTGCACATGCTTGTTTCTGTTGTTCCTAGTAGACTACAGTGTCCAGTCAGCAGTCCTTTTATCATTCTAGTCCTAATAGGTTATGCCCTATTTCTGCTGTTAATCTCTTTAAAGGCCCCGTATTAACTTTTTTGCGAGCCTCTATACTGGGATACAATCCCATTGAACAGAAGACTTATAATGGCAATTGATGATTCATGGTTGATGAGTGAGAAAGCTGTCTAACCACATTATGAAAATAATATGGCTTTTGTTTGTTATTTCTTAGTTGACCTACAATTTGGCATGGAATATTTTTGTAATGTGCTAAATAAAAGAAATACATGTTACACAAATCTGAATTGTGCCTTAAATGTGTTTTAAAAATTTCAGGATGAAGGGTTTGTAACTCCTGGCGATGATGTAGAGGTTTCCGAAAATACTATACCAGAACAAACATATCGAGATATTTCTGAGGAAGAGAAAAGCGATTTTGTGTATGTTGTCACAATTAGAATTAAGCCCTTCATTTTCATAATTGGTTTGTTAATTTCACAGGCCATTCACTGATGTAAATTTGTGTGATATTCCAATAACTCGAGATAAGGGCAAATGGACACCTTTTCGAACAGTATATCCAATCGAGCCGCCGTTTTTCTCTCTCGACATTCATAGTATTCATCAACAGAAGCAAGATCATTTGATCTTCATTCCTAGAAATGAGTTGATTAATGACTTGAAGGTGCTATTATTAGGTGTTGCATCAAACAGCTTTTATAAGGTAAAATTTTTATCATTTTAGCCTAACCAATATCAGGAGAAGCCAAGATGGAAAATAAGATGATTTAAGTCATGATTATTTATTTAAATATATGGATTATCCTTGTTACAAAAATATAAGTTTCATAACACTAAATAATTAATGTTAACTTGAACATACTTTATACAAAATATGTAATATGTAAGTGAGAATGAAAACATTAAGATAAACATTTACACAAGAAAGCAACAAAAATATAAATAAATCATTACATCATTATAATAACATTCTAGTAGAGTTGAAAAATAACAATTGAATGTTCGAAAACGTGAGCTAAGGTAAATTTGAAGGGGAGGGGGGTAGAAATTCGAAGAAGAACCATTGCATTTTATTGTATGAAGCTTTCTGGTATGGTTTTTGTGAGATTACAGATGTCATTTTTATTTTACAAAGCAAGTTCTAATTGATTTATTTCTACCCCTCCTCTTCAAATTTACCTCTTAGCTCACATTTTCGAACATTCAATTGTTATTTTTCAACTCTACTAGAATACTAGAATGTTATTTAAAAAATTGGATATATCAACGTAAAGCATATTAGATGAAGAAGTTTTTGTGAAATTTGAGTTGTAGGTATTTTTTTGTAACCTCAGTAGAACGTGCAATTATGACCAAAATTTTAAATTTTGTAATTTTGACATGTTCCAACTGATATTGGCTAACATTTTATGTCATTCAGATTATTGCAAAGAAGTATCTTACAGCAAATTTAGCGTTCTTTCAGATGGTGTAATTGGATTTGTTGAAGTCTCAACATTTTGGAAGTTGTAAGCGTTTTTATGTGGTAAGGTAGTGAAAAGTTGAAAAAACCTAAATTGACGAATATCTTCAAAATAGAGAACTTTCCGAAAATTTTCTCCTGAGCATTTTTTGCTCCAAACGAAGAGTAGAATCAATTCCCTGAGTTTCATCAGAAGGAACTGGGACACCCAGTATACTCGAAACAGGAAACCATTTTATCTAAATTTTGATTATCTGTAAGAGTTAAGATCAGAATTATTTCTATAGATATTTAATGATTTTACTACAGTTACAACTTAACTACGTCACTTTTTAAAATTATGTTTTAATGAAAATAGTGAATTCTGTTTGGTAATTGGAATGGCTATATTAAATTTTAAAGATGGATGGTGCTATCTATATCCAGCTATATGTCTACATAGGTGGTGTTACCAGGGTTTTGACTGAGAAGACATTTCTAGATTAGAAAATATTAGGTTTAACATATTGATATTAAATAATTTTTTGGTATTTTTTTCATCATTATTTGGCCAGAATCTATTACGTCTGATTTACAATTAGTTTTAGGCAGATTGAAATCAACTAATATTAAAAATTCACTAATTTCGTGGTCCGCTTGACCATTTAATACATTACAATTAATTAAGGTTTTTAGTTGACATGAAACAAAGTTAATGGCACGAGCGGGATTCGAACCCACGATCTTCAACTAGATACGCCGTTGCTCTACCACTTGAGCTATTGTGACTCGATCCACTCGGACATCAACTTCCTATCTCAACCCCACCTTTTTGAATTTTCCCTCCTTTTTGCCATTTTGCAGGAAGTTGATGTCCGAGTGGATCAAGGTCACGATAGCTCAAGTGGTAGAGCGGCAGCGTATCTAGCCGAAGATCGTGGGTTCGAATCCCGCTCGTGCCATTAACTTTTTTTCATCTCAACTGAAAACCTTAATTAATTGTAATATTAAAAATTTATTTGAGGGTAACAACTATGTAAATCTTCTCAGGGAGGAATATATTATCTTGAAATCAAATAGAACATTTTTGTAGATTTCTTATTGTTCAATTAATTTAAATATTTTTTATTTATTAATTTTTTTTTTTTTTTTTTTTTAAGGAAAATGATCAATTTTTTTTAAAGAAAAATTTGTATACTAACGGACTGAGCCCAAACGTTTTGATAGAAGCTTGCAGAGAGTTTATAAAAACAGGAGAAAATTACCTAGCCCTAGAAGGTATATGCAAAGAATTGGTGAAAAGCCCTTCACCTATTTTAACAGCGATAAAGCCGTGCATAGACAAATATCGTTACAAATATCAGACAGTAATAAGTACATTTTCTCATACCGAAAGTATTTTACTATTTCAAAAATATGTACAACCTCTCGCTAAACAGGTTAGTTTTATTTTTTATTTGTAGATTTTTTTTTCAGCTTACTGATTAAGTTATTGAATTTCAGGTGAATTTTCTTGTTTCTTGTTTAAGACCTCTGCCAGACGGGATAGAATTTCTTGGACATTTATACAATTGTTTGTCAAAAATGTCAACATCGTCGTCTGTTTTTCACCTTGCAGCAATTTTGTTTTACAGCAGTTGTGAATCATACTTTAGGTTCGTTCATTAGTAATGTACATGTTTTACAAGGAGATAGGATTATTATTTTTTATTTATTCATTTTATCTTTGCAGTGTGTTAGATAAGTGGATATTTTATGGGCAGTGCCATCCGGATTTGTTTATAAAACAAAATTATATGCCACATGAAATCACAAGCAGAGACAGCTTGTTAAAAGCTTATACTTATATCCCGGAAAAAGCTCCATGCTTTTTGCCTTCGGACAAAATATATTTTTGTGGATTATACCTAATAGTTTTGCATTTGTGTGCAACGGTAATAATAAATAGTTCTTAGTTTACTATATCCATTATAATGTTTTAAATCATTGTTTATACTGTTCTGATATATTTTATTACTTTTACTATGTTTTATTTATTTATTTTATTTATTGTTTACTTTTTATATGTTTGATATTTCATTTTAATTTTTTATTTGTTATGATTTATTTATAATTCACTAATTTCGTGGTCCGCTTGACCAATTAATATATTATAATTAATTAAGGTTTTTAGTTGAGATAAAAAAGTCAATGGCACAAGCGGGATTCGAACCCACGATCTTCGGCTAGATACGCCGCTGTTCTACCACTTGAGCTATCGTGACCTCGATCCACTCGGACACCAACTTCCCATCTCAACCCCACCTTTTGAATTTTCCCTCCGTTTTGCGATTTTTCAATTCACGAAATTAGTGAATTTAATGAATTAAAATGAAGTATACTTCACTAAAGCTCTCCGTGGCTATTTCATTTGTTGCCGAGAATCCAATCCGATTACACGACATTTGAAAAATTGCAAAAAGGAGGGAAAATTCAAAAGGTATGGTTGAGATGGGAAGTTAGTGTCCGAGTGGATCGAGGTCACGATAGCTCAAGTGGTAGAGCAGTGGCGCATCTTGCCGAAGATTGTGGGTTCAAATCCTGCTCGTGCCATTGACTTTTTTATCTCAACTAAAAACCTTAATTAATTATAATTTATTTATAATGTTTACTTTTTAGGACAATTATTTGACATTTGACAATATAAAAAGACCTCAAATTACTCTATGCGCGAATTATAAGTCATTCAAACTATTGGAAGAAGAGTGGTTGCAGTATTATGAAAAGTGGTCATCTATGCAACCAACAACTTGTGGATGGTTAGATGATTATGATATCGATTTATCTGAAGTAGGAGAACAGCGAGAAATTCAAGCAAACAAAATTTTAAGTGGTAAAAATTAAATTTTTAATTAAATTATTTATTATTTTCTTTATTTTCTTTTTTTAATTGTAAAACAACAAAGGTCAAAAAATTGATAATCATTTTTGTCTCGTTTAGACATGAAGTTAGTGAGACAAGGCTTCTTTCAGAAAAAAAGATTAGAAGAATTAAATTTACAAAGAGAAATCCTTCATTCTGAGTTGGAAACAGCTTTTATAAAATTTAAAGATCACATTAATACTGATAGGAAATTAAAAGAGCAATTTTATGAAGAAGAACAGAAGCGGATAAATCTTCAAGAAACTCAAAGGTATGAATCTTAAATCTCATCACAAATTTAGTACGTAAACTTTGAAAACAAAAATTTAAACTATTTTGTTTCAGAATTAAATTGTGTCATCATTACAAGACCTTAATGTCTGCAAGTGACAAAGCAAACGATCATTTTGATTGGGTAACTAAACGGGAAATATTATCTGGTAAAAGGATGCAGTTGTTAATGGAAGAAGAACCACTGTCTGTAAAAAAGAATGAAACTGAAAGCCAATGCTCTCAAGAAAACATGACAAATAACACTCCCAATTCCCCTGAAGTAACAGTTGCTAGTGATCAGGCTAGTGTTTTACCAGATGATCTGGTAATGGTAGACGTTACTGTAGAGCCGAGCAGTGCACCAACTGAAAATAGTGAAAATGAAAAGAGCTCAAGTTTGCCGAATGAAAGTGCCAGTTTGGTTAATGATTGTGTGAAAATAGATGATCAAATAAAGAACATTTCAGACAATTTCAATCAAACTGAATGTATTTTACCTCAAAATACTAGTGCTAATGGAACAGAACACGAAACAAGCTCTGAACTTGAATCTAAAGTAACAGATACTACAAGCAGTTTCAACAGAAAGTATTCGTACTCTGATAATTTCAGAAATAAATTTTGTAGTGTTAAAGTTGACGATATAATGTCAAAAAAAGAACTTAAGGATGAATTTGATAAAACTCAAATTGACAGTATTATCTCTAAATCCATATCACTCCCTTTAAGAATACAGACAAAGTTGATCAATGAATCGTTATTATACGTGTTTTGCATTAAAAATAAGTTGTTATATCACATTTTGGCATTACGAAAATATTTCTTTTTATATGATGGTGTATATGGGGAAAAACTTTGCAATGCACTTTTCAATGCTATTAATAAAAAGGAACCAGCAGAACTTCTTACTTTCACAAATTTAGGAAACATATTACAGGACGCTTGCGGTGACAATGTGAAAGAACTTACTTTTCTAGTTTCCGATACACCTCCAGGATTTGATCTCACAAACCCCCAGGTATATATTATCATTTATGTAACCGCTTTGTTCAATTACTATTATTAGACAATTAATGGTTATTTATAAGCTTCAGTTTCGCTCTGAAATTACTAATTTTTGAACACTAGATTTGAGACCAAAAAGTCAGTGTCATAGATAGGATTTGAACCCACAATTTTTAGAACAGTATCCTAACGGTCTAACCTCCTGAAATACTGTGACTTTAGGGAAAAAAGGGAATTTTACAAATTGTGTTAAGACGGAAAAGTCAATGTCTTGGGTATCAAAGTCATGGTGGCTCAGGAGGTTAGAGCATTGACACATTGACTTTTTTTAATCTTAAATCTCATGTTCAAAAATTAGAACTATTATTTAGGCTTGGTATTTCTATATTTTTTATATATTTTAATTGTGATGTGATAAATAGATTATTTGCAAGTAGAAAAAAACATTACACTTAAAAATTTATTATATATTATGAAAACAACATTATAAATGGACTAGAAATGTGACATTTTTCTTTGTGGTGATAAACCTGTAATTTGGTTGTTGCTAATCATTTTCATTTCAGCATTTTGCCATGTTTAGTGGAGACCCAACACTGAAAATGGAGAAATGCGTCTGACAGACCAACCCAGTGATATGCAGACCAAAATCATTTTTAGTGACCAAATTATAAAAATATTGCACTCAATTAGGTTTTTTATTTTTGTAGGTCCTTAGCTGCCTCAATTTAAGTTATAAAGCTGACTGGCCACTGAACTTAATATTAACAGAGAAGACCATAATAAAGTATGATACTGTTTTTTCTTTTGTCATGGCTATTGAACAAGCAGCTTGGTACTTGAAAAAACTTTTTTTTCTTCTCAGAGTTAAATATGTTGATGTGGCTAATTCGTTACAATATAAACAGGTTAGTTTGAAATTGTTCAAATTAGTAATAATTTTGAAAATGTAATTTTACTTTTTTAAGCTTTGGTTTAAAACAAGTACAATATATGTATTTTTTACATCTATTGTCTCACTTTGTTTTAGATACAACTTCATCGGCATGTCATGTCACAGTTCATTAGTGCATTTAAATGTTATTTGGCTGTGGTTGTATTTGAATCTAGTTGGAGAAATTTGGCAAAAGTCTTGTCAACTGTGAACAGTTGCGAAGAACTTTACAGAGCACATATAAACTATCTAAAAGATGTCCGTTTCAAGTATGTTTTACTGTTAATATCAAGTATGTTTAGTAATTTATACTTATATGAGATTTTCCCTTAATTGAATTTCAAATATTGATAGCATTTAATAAAATAGTATTTATTTGAATGTATGTGTCCATTGAGAAAATAAATTATTCTGGAAAATACATTTGAAATAAACACGCACTTTTTTGAGAGATTAAAAAATATATGTGTTTTTTAGGTGTTTCCTTAATCAGTCAGCCAGCAACACCCTAGTACACTTAATGAAGCTTCTGCAATGTATCTTGATGTACTGTCGTGTTTATGAATTTGGGGAGATAGATATCGCATCTTCAGGAGAATTTTTCCACAGTAAATTTTCCAAATTGAACCATACTTTTCAGAATTTCATGTCTTTGGCAAAGTACTTTATCTATATTATTCAATCCTACGCGCAAAATAAACAACAGAATCATTTTGAAATTCTACTCGAGTTTCTACACAATAACTCGTTTTCAACATCATACGATGTTAAAACCAAGTATTAACCAGTGCTGTTCACACTCTTATTTAACTAAGGATAATGTAAGTTAAGGATGAAATTAGTCTTTCATTAAATGCCAAATGTGTCCTAAATGTTTTTAATATTTATTTTAACCATGTTCTGTTTGTTAAAATTTTATAATAAAGCATAAAAAAACCTGCCAGGCTCATGCTGGTTTCAATCATATGTAAGAGCCCTCGTATGTTAATTATCTGTATCAAGTTTAATCAATTTAATGATCTGTATGTGAAATTCGGATTACATAGATCGCCGGCGATGATAAAAATTTAGCTAAGTAGTTGACGAACCCTAAAAATGCTTGTAGGTTTTGATCTTGAAGAACAGCTTTCACTTTTCATCCGTTGAGTGCAAACCCTGTTCATTGATCTGGAACCCTAGATATTCGATGGAAGTTTTCCCATATTTACACTTCTTAGATCAAGTCAGTCCAGGATCCTTAAACTTCTCCAGTACCAGGATGATTGTGGGGGGCCGCAGTAGCCGAGTGGTTAAGGCGTCAGACTCTCAGCTAGTAAATCCCACGGTCGTGGGTTCAATCCCCACCGTCACCTCTGGACTTTTCTGACGCCTAAGGGGACCGGTGGCCACAATTGAAAGAAATTGACACGGCACTCATCAATGGAAGGTCTGTGACGGGATCGGATCTCAGCGACCCTGAATTTGGTCCCAACCCCCTTTAAAAATGAGTTTCTTCGATGGAAGAACACCGGTACAACGGGGGCTCAAGTTCACATTTGTGTTGCGAGCCCTCCCCCAAAAATATGGAGCCAGGGATAAAGTACAATAAGCTGTACAGCTCAGCTGCAGTGCTCAGGAGGGAACTCCTCCAGTCCCTGGTATCCCAAAAAAAAAAAAAATGGGTTCCTTCCATCTTGTTAGCTTTCCCATCTGGGAATGAGGACTGCTGTCCTGTCCGATAGGCATTTTCACGGTTTAATGGCTTACTGTGGCAAACCCTTCCGATTGGCCCTTCCATTTGCATCGTCTACAAGAGAAGCTTTTGTATGTGCAATTATTTGGGTCGTGATTCATTCCCTCACATATTTTACAAGCCTTTCCTTTGTAATTGCATTGCTATCCTTCGTGGATAGCATGGGTCCTGCCATGCTGTTATATTTTCATTTTGTTTATCCAGCACATAATGAAAAGTTGCCGCCTCCTTCGAATTGGCTAGCTGGACAAGCTGGTCCAATGTTATTGTCTCTGCCTCTTCTGAGAACATCCTATCTCTAACGGGGCCCTTTCCCATACCTATAACAAACCAGTCTCTCAAGTGTGCATCCAGATGTTGCCCAAATTTACAATTTACTACTAGCGCTCTAAGCCTGGCCAACCGCTTGTGTGTTTTCTTTGGTTGCAATGTGGAATTTGAAACGAGCAGTGAAGGTCGACTTGACTGGAAGAAAATGTTGAACCACTTTACTAATTTTTCATAAGGCTTCTTTTCCGGTTTGTCTAGAACCGACAAATTCACCATCAGCCGATAAGCTGGCTCATACAGTGTTCAAAAACAATGTCCGTTTTCGAATTACCAACTTCATGGCATTTCCCTCAAAGAAATTCTTCATTCATGGCTTTTAAATCGGTTGGGGTAAACTCCTGCATTCTCCACACCAACCCCATAAATTGGTCAACCTTTTGGCTTTCCAGTTTTGAATCTATTTTCAGCATGTTCACTTTTCCAATACGAAGGTTTCCCCAAATATGAAAACTACAAACTAAAGTTTATCCGAGTAGGGCAGCCATCCCCAATGTGAAATTAAAATTGTGTACATTTATTTTCAGTTATACCAGGTATATCACGTTGTAAAAATGCTGTCTTAAGTTGTACACAAAGTCACCAACTTTGGTTGTTGACACCAAAAAAAAAAAAAAAATGGTGCCCAGAAGGGTGGACGAGGGAGTGGGCCCTCATTGGCTCATCCTTCCCTTCCAGCTTCCAGTTGCCAGTTGCCGAAGGATGAAAAGGATAAAAATCAGGTGTTGTGCGACATTCAGAGAGAGAGAGAGAGAGAGAGAGAGCAACTGAATAAAGTAAATTGATTAGAGGTAATTATACTGAGTACATTTCTTTATGGAGAATGATTAAAACATTTATCAATTTTAACGTGTCCTGGGCAAAGGTTTCATTTTAAATTATTCATTATATTGTAATAATAATTTCGTTTTATTTAGGTTAAATAAAAGTTTTGTTGAGTTATTTATTGTCCATATTGCCTTTAAATTTGCATGCTGGTGGAGGGTTTTAATATATTAAAATTTTGTATGGCGAGTAAAATAGCTCATCACAACAATTAATACCTTAGGCATATAAAACATTTTACTACCACATTTTTAAAATGTTGTATATAAATACCTTAAATTTTATGTCTTTGTTCTTTACTTGTTCATTGTATGGAAAAGCAATTTATACCCTTTTCCAATTACATACAAATTCTGGAGGCCATATCAGCCCATTCAATCAAAAAAATAAATAAATAAAATAATAAATGAAAAAACATTTGGAAGTATTAAATTCACAAATTTTGTGGTCCGTTTGACCAATTAATATATTACAATTAAGGTTTTTGGTTGAGATAAAAAAGTCTAAAAAAGTGAAAAATGGCAAAAAGGAGGGAAAATTCAAAAGGTGCGGTTGACTTTTTTATCTCAACTAAAAACCTTAATTAATTCTAATTCTTTATGTAGTTTTTATTGAATATAGAATAAGGTAAGAAAATACTTTCTTTTTTTCAACATAGCTTTTATTTGCTTTTTAAAACTCTACATACATATACAATTGTAATTGACTTGGTAATAATAGTTTCACATCATACACATTTTTAGCCAATTTACATTGAAATTTTGTCCTTCATGAAAACAAGGAGGTAAGGGAACAAATGGAATATTCATGTTGCTAAAACACAACTTTAAAATAATTATGTTTATACTTATTAATATTGAGAAACTGATATTAATACATGAATTTTTTTTTAAATAATAAGAAAACAGATTGAATTGTTCAGTTAGACAAAAATTTCACAAGGTATTAACATCGTTTAACAACAGCTTACTTATAATCAACCGGATCTTGCTACACAAATATATGTCAAATCTGTATATAATAAAAGCATGCTAATCCTGTTCCATTAAATTATACGTTTACTTATAAATATATAACAAAATACAAAAACTATGCATGCAAAAACTATGGAGCTGTCATATAATGTTGCCCAACAATTTGAGCTTATCACTAGAACATACCCAATCATAAATAATATACAATGTGCCATTAAAGAGAGGAAATTGTAATTCCGCCAGAACTGGTAGTATCTTGGTTAATGGCACAATGGGCTTTAAATTAAAAATTGGTAATAAAATATAAATACATCATAATAGAAAATTTCAACTCCAAATAATTTGGTTTTGCATGTGCAACAATATGCTGTAATTACACAGTAAATTAAATACAATTAAAGCAGGTACATAGAGCTTATGTTGAAGTCACCCCTTTCCGAGCAACAAGAAGATTTAATACTGGGAGTTTCTTAATATAGTCAACAGCTTTTTTATGTGTTACCATCGTAAAATCATATCCGTTACACTGAAAACACAAATAAAAATAAGAAAAAACATGGTTCATTCAAAAATATATATTTACACCACTAAAGTGAATGACTTGAAAGAGAGTTTGAGATAGATAGATAAAAATATAGATAGTGAGAAAAAGAAATACAGAGAGATAAAGAGAGGGTTGGTGAATGAGAGTTAATGAGTGAGTGAGTTATAGATAAATAGAGAGGAAAGAGAAAGAGAGAGACAACAATAGAAGAGAAAAAAGTATATACACACAGTCAAAGTCTGTCTGTCAGAGGTCATAGCAGAAAGAAAAAAGAATATATGGTGACTTAATAGGTTATAAACATAGGTTGCTACTAAAAATTATAAAATAAAAAATAACTAAAATTAAGGAAGCATAAACTGAATATGAAAATTAATTTACACTAAAGGATAAAATAAAAATTACTAGAATAAAAAAAGAACAGAAAAAAGAAGATGTAAATTAAACATTGATTATGAATAAAACCGGTAACAATACAAATAAGAAAAATATTGAAATTGAATTACATTAGAATAAATGAAATTAACAGAAAAATGTAGCAAATTATAAGAAATAACCCACTAATCCTTATTTAAAAAATGGAATCTATGAAGAAAACAAAAAGCATTACGTTAAAAATTAAATTCCTGAACTAATTCATATCTGCAATTCCAGGCGTGACAAGCATATTGGATTAGTTCTTTTGGGTTTTTTGTTCCATTCAAGTAATTAATCAAAGTATTTCAAGGTAAAAAGAAACAGCCCAAATGTAGTTGACAGATTTCAGCCAGGATTGAACACTCATCTAGAAAATGAGTAATATTTTTGATCGCACCTAAGTTGCAGAGAGAACAAATCCTAGAACTTCCCCGAAACCACGAGCTAAATTCAGATGTAATAGTGCGCACTGCATTTTAAATAGCCAATACAAATCATTTACTGAGTAGCCATTTAAATTATCTTTGTAAAAATCAACCAAGATAACAGAATGATTAAGTTCTTTATATAGCAATGAATGAATTTTCAAATGGCAACTCTCACTATTAATTTTGGAATTTTTTTTTTTTTTTTGAAATTTTATTGATGAGAAGAGAAAAGTGAGATTCTCACTCTAAAGTATTTTAAAGAGGGAGAAAACATTTCATAGTGAGAAAGAATGAGTGAGAAATAAAGAAAAATGGTGAGGGAGAGAGAGAGAAAGTTTCAGTGAATGAGTCTAATCTTTTCCCCTCAATAGTAAAATAATGTAATAAACGTACAAAAGCACGTAACAATCACTATACTAGCAAATATTTGAATTTCTGGACGATTTGCTATTATTGCGCTATTGTTGGCGTTAACATTAATACATCTGGTATAGAGTAAAACGTGTGAAATATTGAAGACTTGTTGCTAAGTGTTGGTTGGACCAAATTACACATTGTTCTCGCTCACTTTCCAAATGTCTCAACACATTCATCCAATCTTCACTTTAAACAGAATATACATTCCCTACATTTACATAATATCTATTGGAAAGGAGAGGAAGGAGGGAGGGAGGGAGAGTGACAGAAAAAGAGAGAGAAAGGGAATAGTGTGGTATAAATAAAAATATTAAAAAGAAGTGGTCATAAATGAGATCCTAGCTAAACTCCTAGTGATCAATTTTGATCGAAACCAAAAATCTCTGCAGGTGCTAATTAATAGGCTCTATTAATATCAAATAAGACATACACTCATAATTAAACAAAGATGTTGATGGACAGACATACTAAATATAATTAATTAAATTAATTATTCTTTTTATGTAAGATCTTGAGATGAAAAAGGGATTCGAACTTACGACCTTTGGCTCACTACACTGCTTGAACTATTGTGACTTTCATCTCAGCCAAAAACTTTAGATAAAAAGAATAATTAATTAGGCTAAATATAATGTTGTTATTTGCATTAGTTGAAAAATAAAATATAAAACTTACTTGTAATATTTTATCATGCATTCTTAGACCAGACTTTGAGGCCGGACTCCCCTCATGCACCTCGGTGACGTATATACCCTAAAAATATTTTTGTTAAATTATAAATGAAGGTGTATTAAAAAATAAATTCCTATTTTTATAGTAAATATACATAATATATATTGTGTACACACACACACACACACACACACGCACACGCACACACACACTTTTTTCTCTTGCTGTCTTATAAGGCTACCTTATAGAAACTTATTATGCAAGGGTGTATTATTTATAACTTCAAGTTCAATAATCAAAAATCATTATAATAAACTTCAATTATACTTTTAGAATTTAGCAGTTGTCATTATTTCATAAAGGGTTTTTTTTTTTTTTTTTTTTTTTTTTGTATTTTGTTTCAATAGATAGTAAAAAATGTGTCAATTGTCAAGTAGCTCAATCAATCTTGATAGATAACAACTAATGAAATGAAATACAAATCGAGTTTTGAAATTAAATTAGTCATTGTAATACAAATGTTGCGATATCAGGAAGAAAAAAAAAATAGAACTGAGAATAGGATGGAGAAGTGACTGAAAAAAACAACAATTAGTTGCAGTTCTAACAAACTACCAGAACATTATTTTAAATGAGATGAGTCATCACATGACTCATAACTGCGATAGCAGAAAAAAAAATGTTGACACACAATGACACCAATAAGAATATAAATTTAAATACTTGGCGACAAACAAGCAAAAACTGTTTATTTTAATTGTAAATATCAACATGTCAAGTTGTGATAATTATTTTGGAGGTCTGCAGCATTTTGATTAATGTTGATATCTATGATGGAAACAAGTAACAATGCCAAACCTAAACAATTGTTAAAAGTTTTTTATAGGACGCCAACCTTTCTCCACTGTGACCTATATATTGTGGAACCCCTAAGATTATGTCCGTACCATGTAAAGTGCACTCCCCCCCAAAAAAACGCAGTTTCTATGGTCCCTCTATGTATACATTTCCTTAGTATAAGAATTTCTTTACCAAAGTGACCAGTCCATTAAATAGCCAAAGCGCCGGATGTAACGTGCTCTATCATCCACCAAAGAGAAGGTAGTGGTCGACCGTGATGTATGACGGCTAGAAGAGATCATTATATTGCTCTTAACACACTATGGAGCCAACATTTAATAACTTCCTTGTTAGGACTGACTACAAATGGCCTGTAATGAAAGGGTGAGCTCTAAAAGACAGAAGGCTTCATGAGAGCAGCCTAGTTTCTAGACAGTTCTCTACTACTGGAGAGACATTGTGACTATTCGCAAATCAGCATCTCACTTAGACAATTGAAAAATGGGGGGGGCTACTTCCCAGATATGTGCTGTTTTGGTTTGTACCATTCAGATGACTGGGACCCTGTGCTTTGCTTCATGTGCCATGTGTGTAACAGCTTTTTCAAAGGCAGTCAGTCATGGTTCAGGATGGAATCAACATCCATGCCCGTACCGAACTGATTATCATACAGAATGGATCTTTGACTGTACTAAGGTACATTGAGGAAGTTCATCTAGAAGCTGGAATCCCATTCGCTCCATTTATTGTGGATAAATTCGCATTAATACATAATAATGCTAGACTGCGTGTAGCTCGATGTCACCCATAATTACTTGAAAGATGTCGGGATCACCTCAATAAATTGGCCTTGTTCTTCCGACATCGTATAGAACAATTATAGGACATGATAAAGAGACGGGTTAGACATCATTAACCGCCTCCAACAAGCTTTGAACAATGGGATTGGTTTACGTTAAAATAAGCATGTTGTAATTAACATAAAAATAACAAACATATTTTGAAATATACAACAAAATAAGAGTGCCCGGTTTATTGTCTTTAAGTTTATGTCAAAGCGATACAATTTTGTTATGCAACCAACATGGTCTTAGATTTGATCAAAATTGTGCAAATCGTTAAATGAAATGTCTATCAGTTCAGAGTTTCCTTTAGATTATTTTTGTGAAACATAAAAACAGAACTGTTTAGGTGAAACGGAATCAATAATTTGAAATTATGTACACAAAAGATGTCAAAACTGTTTTTTCCAAATGCCTTTAGGTTTTTATCAGCTACTGCAGACCCAGTTCAATACTGTACTTGCATTGGCACAATCAATGGGGGTCATGCTATGCTGAACCTGTATCTTCGAGGAAACAACAGGTTTCCAATCAGTTCAGCATTTTCCCAATATAGGAAGTGAAACTGCAGATTTAAAATTGTCAGTGATCTTGTGTTAAAAGTTGCAAAAAAATGGCACATGTGTCAGATTGTAAATGAAATCAATTACGTTGTCAGTGTATCCTTGAGGGCTTTTTCTAAAGTCCTGGTCGATCCCACCTCCGATCTTGAAGCCGCATTTGAGGACTTCCCTGCCCTCGGGGTCGACCCCGGGCTCTTTATGGAGCGTTATCGGTATCTGTAAATCATAAAGAATCTCATAAATCGGGTGTGTGAAATCGGCAAATCTCCGATATTGGAGTGAGTCATCCGACTATAAAGTTTCGCAAAAATACGACTTAATAATATTAGATACAACGTACGCTCAGGCACTCCATGGCAGTCCCCGCCTGGTGCTGAAAGGCCATTTTCGCGCACATCCTGCTAGTTTTTGTCTGCTTACACTATCCAGGAATTAAAATATTTCTTGGGGTGGCCTTTTTAAACGAACTGAACTCAACCTGAAATATAACATCAACACTAATCAAACACGACTGTTCGCTCAAATAGCTGACCATCGATACTAGCCTCAGATCCAAACATTTGGAACTGAACGCCCTCTGGTGAGTTACACAACATTTCTAAATTCAGGGCCTCTCTTGTCTAAAACACAACTAATTTAATTAATTAACTTAATAAAGGGAAAATCTTGCTTGGGCAATGATTTTATGTGTTTTTTAGCCGGTAGTTCAATAATTTGTTGAAGTGGTGAGGAGCGGGCAGAAATATTCGATTCTATCTATCTGAGAAAACTCAGAGAGTTAAAGCTTTCGGTTCCATCTCCTCTTCTCTCTCAATTTCAGCTGGTGTATCAAGGCTATTTTTTTCTTTTTTGACAGGGGCATCCGACAGCTTGATCATTTCAGCCCCGAAGCACTAGCAAAATATTGCAACACGCTCGATACACACATGATCACACCAATAAATATATTCGTACCTATTTACATTGATCGCACTCATACTGTTTGGTAGATGGAGTACTCGATATTCCTCCATCTACCTGTTCCCTATAATAGACTATTCTAATTTAGGGTCGATGGGGTATTTTATCAAATTTCCGCCATCGGCCCAAGTCATACACACAGCCTGAGAGGCGATGGACAAGCTGCTTGGCTATCAGCCCCTCCCAATTCACACCAATAAATACATTCACTCATACAAGACACAGAAACACAAAACACATAACTTGACATCTATATACAATAAAAAATTCCCAATTCCCTTAAGAAGCGGAATAGGGGACCCTGAAACTTGCTGCTGTGTCCGAGAACCCTCTTTAAATCTGGCGGCATGCCTACTCGCACCCTGAAGGGAGCTAAGGCACGACACGCTTCGACTATGTGGGACACATCGAGCAACCTATCTCTGCATAATGGACACCTGTGGGGGGATTGGTCCACCAGCAAGTGTCCATGGACAAGTGTCAACCGAGTATGACCTATTCTTATTCTGGCAAGAACTATTCCTTCTTTAATCAAGGCTATTCTTGGACTTTTACTGTTTTCCATGTTCCTAAATGATCTTCCATTTGTTGTGTTATGGGCCCCTGTTATAGAGAGTAGAAAAGAATAGTTAAAATAATAATAAGGGAAACTAAATGATAAAACACTAAAGTAAACACAAATGCCTTCTATTAGACTATATACAAAAATCAAAGTAAAGAAACTTGCCGACACCTCTGTTTAAATGATACATACAATGATTATATCCCATTCATTCAATTTTGGATTCTTATCAAATGAAATCTGTATTAAAAACCCCAACACAAAATCTTTAAAGAAAATTAAATCAGCTAACTTTGGTTGTAGCTCACCAAGGTAAAAAAACCTTTTTTTATGTGGATCACTGGACAGGTCCATTTGTAGCAAAGCTTGTGTCCTCCCCTCTCCACCATCGGGTGTCTACCGCCTCCAATATGGTACCCAAATTTGGAGCACTCTGACATTTCTTAATTTCATCGATGCTGATGACGCTAAGCTTTACTCAATGTCGTACAAGCAGCATCTCTCTGCTCAATAGTGATCTTCATTCTCTCAATCAATGGACAAGTAATAACAGCATTCTCTTAAATCATAACAAATCCCAGTCCTTATTAATTTCCCAAAAACTCATTAATACAGATTGCCTATCCGCTCGTCATCAACTTTTCCCACATTCCTTATCCAAACACATCAATCATATCCCAAAAGCCTTCAACACTCCTCTAAAATTTATGAAAAGTATTGGTCGAGATAAAAAATTCATTCATCAAAATTTCACAAATATTAATTAATTGAAAAATTGGTCAATCGGACCACGAACTGTAAAGGACTCTTCTAAAACTTTAGCCTTATCCTTCAGAATTGCAGGAGCAAAACTATGGAAATGCTTCCCTGGGAAGTTCATTCTAATTCCTCACTGGTCCACGGCATCTGAGTTTTTAAAACCAACATGAATTCATCTTAGCTCTTCCTGTTCTTTTCCCTGTTTCCTTTTATCTTCTTTTTCAATGTGGTTTCATCATTCAATTCCAATAATTAATATTATTAAAAATATATTATTGACATTATTTTTTTTATTTATTTTTCTTTAACAAGGATTCGCCTCAGTGGAGGTCATATCAGCACTTGGGGTGCCAATGTTTTTGAAAAAAAAAAGTTCATTTGTAAGTATGCCGGGTTCTAATGCAGGTCCGCTGGATTCAAACCTGGAATCTTTACTTTCCAGTGAAGAGTGCCGTGCCAACCCTAAATCATGCGTCACCAACTTCCCTTATTACACTTGATAATATTGTTTTGTATATTTTATTATTATTATTCCTATTATTATTATTATTTTATTCTGTTTAAAAAAATAAATTTATTTCTCAGATAAATACCTGTAAGGGGGCTTAAATCCCTAATCGTAATTTTAAAAGGAAAAAGTAAATAAAATAAATAATCATTCCAGATCACCAATACCAAAAGGTTTTTTTTTTTTTTTTTTTTTTTTTTAAATATGCAGGCCCTTATTTTGAATCAGATAAACCCATCTTTGTGCCAGTAATTCAATAACAGTTCAGTACCAAAATTGTTATGGCAGGTACTTAGGTACTTTTCTTAAGCTCCTTAGACTCCATTCAAAATAACCTCAATTTTTTTAAATAAAAATTAACTGGTTTCATCAAAATCTTTGTTTATTGTGTAAATTGTATGGCATACCATCAATGCAGTTATTTTTCAAGATATAGGACATTACTTTGATGTAAATAAACTCATCTTTGTGCCAATAATTCAAATGCAAGTCAGTACAAAAATTAATTTAATTCCGATCAATCGCTTTTTTTTTCTTTTAAATTTATTTATTTATTTTTTGTAAAAATTAATTGGTTGCATCAAAATCATTTTTCAATCTAAATTATTAACATAATTTTGTAGATACATAGCAAGAATTGTTTTATGAGATTTATCTATGTGGTGTACTGGATGATGAACGTCTAGTTAGGTCATTTCTATTTATTTTGGTTTGCCTATCCTCCTTAGTTTTGTATATCAGATGCGTTTTAACATAAACGTTTTTTAATTAAATTGAGGTTTTGCACTCTATAAAATGTATATACTCAAAAAACCAGAATTAATTTTATGAATTTATGAATTTTAGTTGTTCCAATTTGATTACTGTTATTAGAGTGTATTTTGCTGTCCAATTGACCTGTACTAGGATATCTGTCATACATGACCCAACACTGAAAATGGCAAAATGCCAAAATGTGTCTGACAGTTATACAGTGATAGAAATAGTTTATGTGCAGTCTGGCTTTTGGGTAGTTTCCAATAAAACACCGGCGGGCCTTCAGAATTACCCACCTTGGGTCAGGGTCAGTCCAAGGTCAGACTTCAGTCTTATCCATCCAGCCCTTGAAGTTAGGCTCCAGAGCTATCGGCAGCTAGGTCATTCCAGCCCCCAACAAAATCAATCTTAAATACATTCTTTCCTATTTATATGCCATTCACTCAGTTAGGGTAGTGGAGTATTTCCTCCACCACTCCCTACAAGTGGTATAAGTAATCCTAGGAGGGTTGATGAGATACTCAATATTCCACCATCTGCCCCCACTACATATTCACGCCAGTAATACACATACTACATTCACTCTCTAGAGACATAAAACTATCATTACTATATACAATAGAACGACCTTTTTTCCTCCAAGAATTGGGAAAGGGGACCCAGGTAAACACTGTCGTTCTCAAGAATAATTGTCATATCGAGGGGCATTCCTATACATTGGAACCAAGGAGTTGCACCCTTTCATTAAGACACATTGAGCAATCTTTCTCTGCAAGACATATGCCTACGCAGGCTTTGGCCTAAACCAACCATGTGTCAACCTTACATGACTTTCTTATTTTTAATTATGAATAATCTTTATTGTGTTATTTTTAGGCCAAAATTTCTGAATGTATAGGCTGTTTCGTAAATATGATTTGCATTTCAAAAAAACAGCACCATCTTTAATTTTGATCTAAATTCTAATAATAATAATAATTCTAATAATCTTACTACGCAGTGAGTCTTAATTCCATCCTCTATTTAATTATTCCTGTTTTACTTCCATTTATCCATCATTCAATCGGAAATTTATATTTCCGTTGGTACCGAAACAATCAACTCCTTTCTTTTTATAATTTTTATCTTCTATCATCGGTGGTGTTCGTGATCGGTTGCTGGCCAACAAACCTCATACGGCAGGCTTTAAAAAAAAAATAAAATAAAAATAAAATAAATTGTTAAAGGTATATTTCAAGGGGAAAAGAATAAGGTTGGTTAAACTGTTTTCAAGGGAACGGGCGGGAAAAACGGCGATGACCGTTAAGAGGTCCATAGACGCTCAATATTATTGCACAATGTGGGTTGCACAATATTTTGACGGAGGCCCTACAGTGCTCAATATTATTGCGCAATATTTTGATTTGTGCAATAAATTGTATCGTATGCAGGCAATATTGATGGTTGTGCAATATATTGCACAATCGCGAGCACAGACGTACAACCTTCAAGGCAATATATTGTGCAATTAGTTCCATTGCAATTTCATTTAGTGAAGTCATGTTGAGTGATATTGATTTGTGTTGTGTGATTATCGCTGTGGGTGCCAGTGCGAAAAAGAAGAAGACCTCGCAAAAAGGCTAGTAAAGGTAAGAGCTCTGTACTTTTAATCATAATAAAATTTAATTAATTGGATTTAAGTTCATTATTATAAACTTATTGTTATATATGACAGTATGGAAATTAAATCTAGATTTTTATTATTATATTAATTTTTCCCGTATAAAATGGACGCGGTAACACAACCCTATTAAAAAAGTCCTAAACCATCCTCAATATTGGCGAAAAAGAGGGAAAATTTAAATAGTTATCGGTTGAGATGATGAATTGGTGTCTCGGGGACCAAGTCACAGTAGCTCAGGTGGTAAAGCACCGGGGTACCAATCCGGAAGTCCTGGGTTCCAAGCCCGCTCGTGACACTAATTTTTCGTCTCAACCTACTTTGAATAAAAA